AAATCCGGAAAGTGGTGAAACCGCAGCCAAAAATAGATGCGGTCTTCCACCGCCATTCTTTTCGCCGGGGACTGTATTTGATGTTAATATTAACAAATTGTTTAAGGATAACCTTTATATAGAATAGCATTTATGAAATACAGTGATATTTGTAATTGGATAAAATGTTCATGAGACAATATATCTAATGAAATTATTATCAATTCTTTTGTAAGCTGTAATAAAAGGCAAAAGAAAGAATTTTGGGTAATAAAAATTTGATTAATTTTTTGAAAGAGGAATTAAATTTTTTATCTTATCTTTGTCAAGGTATTAAAGCTTTCTGAAATGCTAATATTATGAAGTTTTCAGATACAATCATATTGATTAATTAAATTATTTAATTTTTTTAAAAAAAACAAAACTGTTCTAAATATGTTTGATATTATTGATAGGTTTCTGACGCCGCCATTAAAGAATTGGGAGTCGAAGATACTCTCCTGAGGTCGCTTAGGTCACCTAACAATTCAATTTTTAATAGGGGCTCAAATAATATGAAAAGCCCATTACGATTCGTCCAACCTTCAAAACAGTAATATCCCTCTTGAAGGAACCAATGAAAAGTTTGAAATATTAATATGAAGTATGATCAGAAAAATTAAATCGCGTTACAATAGTTGAAAAACACTCTGTTCTTTATCAAAAATTACTAGTTTGCCAATTATGAGAAAGAAGATATTAACCTAGAAGAAAGAAAGAAACACGCAATTTCCAAACAGAAGAAAGCTACAATAGCAATTCTACAGTAGGTTTATTTGTTTATATTGTTTTGATTCACATATAGAATAATAAGCTTTTTGTTATAGAATCTTCATGGACTTTCGGAAGCGAAATCAGCAATGCTATTTAATGAACAGGATTTGAATGATCGAATGGATTAGATGGCGAGCTTGGAAAGATCTTTAGAGGCCCAAGAAAGTGAACTTGACAAGATCAGGGAAATCTTAAGAGGTATGTTAATCGTTTATTTTAATCTAATTGTGTGAATACCATTTTTATGTTGTAATTGGATTTAATCTTAAATAAAGGCAAGTCAGAAGGTTATTCAAACCAAATTGAAGAAAAACAAAGAGGACTTGCACATTTGTCAGAGAAAATTATTGCAAACAATCACTTATTGTGTCAAACGATCCGAGTTTAATATTTTAAAAGAGAAAATTTTCAATAAAACGAGACCTTACATAAGCAGAAGAATATGCTGACACGCTTAGAGAATCATGTCGGAAGAAGGTATTATTTTAAGGATCACTTTTTTTGATCATTTAATTTGCTAATTAATTTGTTTATTAATAATCTTATTTACAAAGAATCAAATCAAAGACACGTGCTAGAAATTCAACAATTGACACTGATTTAAAGGTTATTATTTAACGTTTAAATTAACACATAAGTATTTTAAGATTCATAAAATATCTTTTATTACTTTTAGCATTACCTTACTCGGAAAGAACATCTCAAGTCTAGTCTTGCTGATTCTCGACAACAAGAAGATGAGGCGAAAAAAAATTTTTAAATCTTCTCAGTCTAGAGGAAAAGTTCTTAGTAGCCTTATAGAGCTCAAAGATAATGATTGTATAAAAGGATTATATGTAAGTTCGTCAGAGCGGAGCGTTTCTATAATTTGTTTTTGCTGAAATATCTTATTTATTTTAAATTTTTAATCAGGATCGTTTGGGTAACCTTGGTGTCATTGATGATAAATACAATGTTGCGATCACAATTGCCTGTCCTGAATTGGACAACTTCGTAGTCGATTCTGTTGAAGTTGGATAGACTTATGTAGATTACCTTAGAAGTAACGATATAGGTCGCTATTTTAGATAATCTGCCCACAATGGACATGCGCCCGATAAAAACACCTGAAAATGTTTCTCGTCTTTTTGATCTTGTTAGGCCGAATTTATCCCAGCATTTTATAGTGTGTTGGGTAATACTTTGGTTGCCAAAGATCTAACACAGGCGAGTAGGATCGCCTTTAGCGAAACTCGGTGGCGCGTGATGATATTAGGAGGTGTAGTAATTGAACAATCTGACGCGATGAGTGGCGGTGGTCATAAAGTATCTAAAAGCGCTAAGAGCTCGAGATTTACTTCTGAAGTAACATCCGAGACAATAGCGAAATTGGAAAAAGAACGTGTCCACTTTGAAATGCAATGTAAAAGAACCTTGGATCTTTAGAATTTCAACTTCAAAATAAAAGGATGAAATTCTTAAATTGGATATTAAAATATTGAAGTTAGAGATGGCTTACGCACAACGTAATAAGAAAAGAGTAGCCGAGTTACGGGATGAATAGAATTGTATTTTCTCAGGAATATATATCACGCGAGACTATCTATAGTGATATTCATGATAAACTCGTCGCTAAAAGATCTACTCAATAAGAACCTAATAAAAATGATATAGACCAATTTGATGATGCAATAGAGAGACAAAATTTTCGACTTGGACCAAAATCACGGAAAATCATACCCTTCTCTATGTTGGTGGTTATAATGGAGTATTAATAGCAAATAACAATTCTTGAGATTACGTCCTACGAGTGCCATGGTGAAATCAAATATTTTACTCAGTTTCATGATGTACATTGTAAACAAGGATTTCTTTATGCTAATCATGAGGTAAAGTATTTATTAGGGAGTTTTTTTTTAAAAAAAAAACATGAAACTGCCACACTTCAAATTATATTTATCTCTCATTCCATTTTTAGGATATGTTAAGATATCTGAGTTACCATCTGACTTCCGATATGATATGGAATGGCCCATTAAGAAAATTCCTTTAAATCGAACGGGTTATGGCATCGAAGATCATGCAGAAATGCAAGTATATGCATTGGCAACTTCCATTCCAGTTAAATTTATTTTAAGAGATGAGAATGGGTACCCTATTAATGATGTAAGTTATAAATTAATTATGTGATCTTTTTTAATTAGTTGAGCCATTGACTAACAGAATTTTGGGACGAAAAGAAAGAGATCAATTGTTACCAGAAACTCAAAAATTCTCACTAGAATTGATATCTCCGGGAAACAATAGACAGGTTCGCTAAATTTTTCTTATTTTTATCTGTTTTGTCTTGATAGTTTGTTTACCTTATCGTTTCTATTCCTGTTATATATAGATATGATTTTTTGCAAATTCTTTGTATCAAATGCGTAAATCTTCAAACGAAATCTACATCTAGCGGACGAAAGTCTTTCATTGCTGTTGGTACAGGTTTTTCCGAGGCGAGGATGTGACATGCGAGAAAATGTACATAACAAATTTTTTTTTTTTTAAAAAAAAAAATTATTTGACCTAATTTTATACTTTTAAATATTTACAGGTTTACATATTTGAAATAATCGAAGTTGTTCCCGAACCAGATAATCCGCAAACAAATCATAAGTTTAAGTTATTGTGTCATGAAGAGGTGAAAGGTTCTGTAACTGCAATTTGCGATGTTAAAGAATACTTATTAACTTGCGTTTTGGACCAAAGGTAAAAGAATAAATTTTGTCATTTATTAATATCATTTATGTCGATCTCGTATTTTATATGTATTTATTTAACATCATAGATATTTATACGCGCTTTCGAAGATAACGATAGACTAATTAGTATGGCGTTCATAGACATTCAAATTTACGGCATTAGCGTTGTTTCTGTTAAGGCTACATATTATTGGGAGATGTATACAAGAGTGTTTGGTTTTTTGGATTCCAGGTAATTTCTTTCAAAAATAAATATATATATATAAATCTATTTCATTCCAACAAGTTTATATATCATCATCATAATTATACAGGAAGAAACCAGCAAAATTAATATTGGTTGGTAAAGACTATCATTCAGAGGTTATTTGTTTAAATTATTTAATCGATGAATCGCTGTAGCAGATATGGATAAAAATATCCACGTATTTCAATACGCACCATATAGTAAGTGTTTCATAAATAATATTAATATATTAATATTTCGAATAATGAATTAACTTTTAAATTCGTCAATGTAAGGTGTTCAGTCTTTTGCGGGACAAAAACTTATCCGTCGTGGTTATTTTCATATTGGTGCACAGTGAAAGTGATGTTAAACATGCCAAAAAAAGAATTAGTAAGAACTTTTCCTATTGAACAAGGAGGTTCGGGATTTTTGGAAGAAGAAATATATTACTTTGTTTATGTGGTAAGTAAAATAAAAAAAAATAAATAAATTTAGTTCATGAATTTCATAATTTAATTTCCATCATTATTAGGAACTCTTGATGTAGCATTCCTTTCGATATGTTATTAATTATAATATAGGTAAAGGTAAAGATCCATGTTGCCGTAATCATAAGTTGTCAGTTTTTTTTGGAGAAATACAGAAAACCTTAAAAGAATTTTTTTTATTATTTTATTTTTAAAGAATTTTCAAAGAATCAAAAACTGTGATCATAACAATCATCATCAAAATAAAAAAGGAAAAAAAAAAACAAATGATATTATCTTTTAACTTTTTTGATATTTTTAATAAAATTCTTATAACCCCCTACTGAATACTTAATTGATATTTCCTTGTCAGGATCAATACTATTTTAAAAAAATTGTTAATTTTAAATTGTTGATGAAATTACAATTTTGCTAATTTAATAAACTTACTTTTTGGGTAATTCTAATGTTAGTTTGGTTTTATCCTCTGAAAAAATAAATCTTCTCTTCAAATAAGGTTCTGGATCTTAGATTTTTATATAATTATATTTTATGTAAATTAATTTTGTATCATGATATTGACATCTACATCAATATCTTTAACTGCAAAAACTAAAAGATTTATTATTAATATTTGATTTTATTCAAAAAAAAGAATATTAATAAATCTATAATACCTGATTGTTTTGATTGTTATGATTGTAATGGTAATTGTTATGGTTAAGATCATAATAATAAATGTTATAATCATGATGATGTTTTTGTGATAGCATAAAATTAAAAAAAAATAAAGTATATCTGTTAAAAATTATATATATATATATATATATTTTTAATATACTTAATATACTGAATGTAACAAGAATAATATAGTATTGTTATTTAAATGTTAATGATTTTTTAAATAAAAAGTTTTTCAAAGTCAAACCTATATATAACCTTTTAGTGTAATTAAATGATCTATTTTTAAGATGCTCAATTTATCATAATTGGTATTACTTATATGCTAATGTTTATATATCTTTTTTTCTTAATTTTTATAATATAAGATTTTTTTATCTAATAATTAATATACAATAAAAGAATTTATAATTTAATATTGGTTACTTTTGTTTACTTCAAGATTTTTTATTTTAATGTATAAAGTTAGATTTTAATAATAAAAGTCTAATAAAATATCAATTAATACTAGTTTTTAATAAAATTGTTAATAATATTTATTTTTAATTTAAGATTTTTTTCTCAAGTTATGAAGTAAAGGTGAAAGAAGATATAAATATTAAAAACAAAAAGTAAAATAGAAATATAATAAATATTAGAAAT